ATGCAAAGTTGCTCATTAGTTGACTCCTGGCCCAGCCTCGCCCTCCACCTCTCCCTCTGCAGCACCCTCTGCTTTAGAGACCCCACTCCCTTCTGATGCTTCTCAAGCCACTGCCCTCGGTGCAGCTGCCAGCCATCCTTTGTACTCGCCACAACCCTGCAAACCCCTCTGCACATGACCCTACCCAGAGAGTCAGGTGCTGCTCCCGGGTGGAAGTCTCAGCCTCAGCATCGCTCACAGGCTGCTCACTCCCAGGAGCTCAGGCCTCTGCGAACAGGAAGACATCTTTGTGTTTTATATGTGCTCTGGCACATAGTAAGCACCTCATACATGTTGTATCATGAATGAATGGCCAAATGAGCAAAGTGAGTGAATAAATGGAAAAAAAAATCAATGAATGAGTGTATTGCTAGCTGGGACGGCCAAATATATTACCATGTTCCCGTGTTGACACAGAAATCTCCTAGAGACATCCAAGATGGATAAAGCGTTGCTTCATGAACTCAGGTCGAATCCTTATTGATTCTCCATTTCGTATATTAGCACACGATCTTGACATTTGTTGACATCTACATTAGGATGATTTTGACATTCTCTGTCCTTCTAGTCTCAGTGTTTCCAGACGTGATGTCCAAAGGTCATGTTAGTCTTAATACTCTGAATGAAGCCATCAGAATTCCACTGGGTGAAAGAGAACAGAGTAAAGTGTTCCCTAAGTCTAAGACCAACAGTACACCTGGGTCCAGCTTAGGATCCTGGGCTGGAAGAAAGAAGAGGTCAGCTGGCTGGGCCTCTGGGATCCAAGGCTGGAACTCCAGAGAGAGGGCCACCCAGCTTGTGCTGTATTCCTCCTCACCACCTTGCAGAGCAGCGCATTCCTGATTTACAGCTCACATAGATAAAATTTCAAAAATGTATTGTTCAGTTTCTTTTACACAGCAATCTTACTGCTCTTGTCTATATCTATCGTGCATATAATTACATTTTCATATAATTTTAAATTTTTATAAGACATTATCATGACCTTTTCCTCACATCTTCTTATTTCCAGGCTAGACATATCTGTTCTTTCAACTATCTTTATATGATCATGTTTTTAAATGTTCTATCATGTCTTAGTCTCTTAGGCTTTAATAACAAAATACCACAGATATAGTGGTTTAAACAACAGACTTCTATTTCTCACAGTTCTGGAGGCTGGGAAGTCCAAAAACAAGGAGCTGGCAGATTTGATTCTTGGTGAGGGCCCTCCTCCTGAGTTGTAGACAGCTGCCTTCTAACTGTGTCCTCACATGGTAGAGAGAGAGCAAGTTTTGGTGTCTCTTCCTCCTTTTATGAGGGCACTAATCCCATCATGGGCCCCATCCTGGTGGCCTCATCCAAACCTAATCACCTCCCAAAGGCTCCCACCTCCTAATACTATCACAATGGTGAGTAGGGCTGCAACATGTGAATTTGCGGGGGGAACACACGCATTTAGTTCATAACACATGGTCATTCACTGTAGAATTCTGTCCTAGAAGACAACATGATGACTAATGATCTCTGAATGTGTGCTCCCCCCGGAGCCAAAAATACTGAAAGTACCCTTTTGCCCATTAACCAAACTGTTCATGCAGCATTTGCAGTTCCCAGAGATATGAATCATTGTTATGTGCTTGAAATGCCTTTGGAACAAACTGTCCATAAATTCTCAAATTGCAGATTTATTCAAAATGACATGCCTTATATTATTAATGTTATACTTCCTGGAGTTTTTCTACAAAGGTTTTTTAATTTGCTTCTCATAGTAGCCCCAGCCACCTTTAGTAGAGGCGAAAAGGAGGCCCAACAAAGAAAAAGAATGTTCCTAAGGTCACTAAAGGTTGTCAGAGGTGGATTTAGAACCTGGGTCGGTATATCAGGTCGCCAAGCATGTGGCTTCAGAAAATGCTCTCTTAGATTTCATGCCTCTGTGACACAGAAGGTCAAAAAGGCCACTCTCAGGGTCAAAATAACACTGGCACACACACCCCTGTGCAGCCGTGATCAACACAGAGCCCCAGCCTGGCCCCGTTCTGGTTGATGCATACACCTGAGAATGGGGGTGAGAAGAGTATTTCTAATAAAACAAAGAGTTTGGCAATTATCAGGGTGGCTTGGAGCAGACGGATGAGCGATGCCGGCTGCACAGGTTAATTGTGTCATTTAGCCCCGCATCATTTATAAAACCACACACGGGTTAAAAGCTGACCTAGAGCCAGGTGGGAAATGTGCTGAATGGAAGGAAACCCCTGCCACGACCTAGGGAATGTGCCAGACACTGCAGACCAGCCACGGCCACATCCTCTCAGCACCCGCCGGGCCCAGCAGCTTTCAGAGGAAATTTCCACTCCGCCCTTCTCATGCCCCAAACCCTCCTTCTAGGATTTTATGCCTAATGGAGGGGTTGGTTAATGAGAGGGGTTAAAGAGGAGGGAGAGAGGCAACACTAACCTTCACCAAATTCTGCAAAAAGCATATAATTTTTAATATCACATGACCTGCAGATTTAGAGTGACAACAAGCAGGTCATGTCGTAGAGGGTAAATTATGAAAGCAGAAGCGAGATAAGAAAGAGTAAGAAAAAACAAAAATGAACCATTGTCGGAAAATGTTGATACCTCCCTTTTAGCCCCCAAATCCTCAATACCACCTTCTTTCCATACACACACACACCATCATGCCCCATGACCATCCCTAATTACTTATTAGAGACTGGAAACAATAAAATACCTGCTCTCAAAGAGCTATTCAGAAGCTCCAAACATCTAAAAAACAAATATCCAGATCCTCCCCAAACTCCCTGTTGACAAGATCCCATTATTTATAGGTAAATTTCCTGCTTTAAGCTCTTCTCCAAGGGGCTACATGAGATTTCTGTTCAGTAAATATATACTTTCTGCCTCCACATCCCTAGAAAGAGTACACATTCCCACTCAATGGATGCTGGTCCTGACCATTTTGTGGGCAGTGTTCCTTCCCACCCTTCACTTCGGGCTTGGCCAGGAGATTGGCTTTGGCTAACAAGATGCTAGTGGCCATGACGTGAGCAGACGCTTGAAATGTGCTTGCACCATTGGTCTAGGCCTTGCCATCCTAGCACCATCATGACAACCTGCTTTGGGTGGCCCACTGGTCCAATGAGGATGAGAGACACAGCTGGAGCCAACCCGCAGCTCAGCACCAAGCCCAGCTAAGCTCAGCCCAGATCAGCTCATCTGAAGACACATGAGAGGAAGAGGAGTTTCAAGAATAGCCTCCTTTTACAAGTTTGAGCTGAACAATGAAGAATGTTGGCCACTGATGCCATTTGTTAAGATGGAGAAATGAGAGAGGAAAAGATTTCGAATACAAGCAGGTGTGACACAGAACCAAGAGTCTGGTTGGGACAATTAAATTGAAGATGCCCATGAGACATCCAAATGGATATGTCAAGCACATCATGTGGGACGAGGTCAGGCTTGGATATATAAATTGGAATTCACCAGTGTCTAAAGGAATTTACAAACATATTTCTTGAGGAGTCACCTAGGCAACAGAGATACACAGAGGAAAAGGAAGCCTGAACATTGAGGCCTGGGCACCCCAACAAGAAGGGGGGCCAGAAGGAAAGGAGCCAAGAAAAGAAAACTGAGAGGAATATAGATGGAAATGGCAGAGTCCAAGACCTGCCCCTTGGACTTAGTAAGGTTGAGGCATAGTGAAAAATATCACCCGAGGATATTTTTTCCATTGAGAAACATCCATGTGAGAGAGACATATTGATTGGTTTCCTCCCACACTTGTCTCAACAAGGGCTAGGGGGCAAACCTATAACCCAGGTACGAACCTTTGACCAGGAATTGAACCTGTGACACATTGATGTGTGGGCCAATGCTCTAACCACTGAGAAACACAGGCCAGGGCTTGGCATCAGTGAATTTTGTGGGATGAATGTCAGGGAACCAAAGTAGGTTCAAGAGAAAAGAGGTGATAGGCCCTAGCTGAGTAGCTCAGTTGGTTGGCGCGTTGCCCCAGTACACCAAGGCTGCAGGTTTAATCCCCAGTCAAGGCACCTACAAGAATCAACCAACGAATGCATAAATAGAGGAAATGAAGCAGCAGGTACGGGCAATGCTTCCAAGGAATCTGTGTAAACAGAGCAATAAATGTGAATCTGCTTCTATTCTAGAGACCCTGACAGAAAAAAAATACATAAGTCAGGCTTGGCCTAGGCAAGATATAGTTCTGTAGTTCCCAGGGCCTACTCTGTCCCAGTCGGCCAATGGCCTCAGAGAATGCCTGCCACCGAGTTCACAGGTGTCAAACGGGGACAAGGACTGATGAGTGTCTGAGACCCCTGCAGCTCTGATTCCATGTTCACTCTTGGCAGCTCCAGTGTGAGAATGTGTGACAGAATGAGGACACAGCAAGAAAGCCCAGCCATCAGTAAATGAAAAATGTGGAATAGCATGACTGTGCCAGGAATCAGTAGATTCCCAAAGGTGTTCGTTACGGAGGTTTTCTGGTTCTGTGTGACTCATGCAGTGGGCAATTGTGAGGTCTCAACACCTGACTCAAACCTCAGAGCCCTGGGCATCCCAATGAACCAGAAGAAGGGAAGGAAGAGGCAAAGGTCTTCCTTATCTGTGTGGGCCCAGAGAGCACACAGACATTAGCTTAAGATTTATCCCCTAGATGTACAAGTGATAAAATCCAACTTCTTAAAAATGTGGTCAATTCAGCAGATACGAAATAGCTCCCCCCACCTACCCTGAACAAATATGAAAGGACCAAATACCCAAAAACCCAGACTCTCACATCATTAAGGGCCCCTCCAGTCCCCCATGTATTGCAGGACGTAGCCTCCAGGCTGTGACCAGGACCTATCCAGCCT